TAGATCCCAGTAAAAAAATAAGAGTGGGAATAAGAGAGGGAGGAGCTGTACAGTTCTGCACACATTCTCATACATTTACTCTAAGGGTACAGCTTAAAACTTGTCATGCGACTCCAAATCCCATTAAACTGGGTGGCACAAATGCCATCTTATGTGCTAAAGTGATCATATTAAGTGTGTAATTGATAATATAGATAGGATTAAGTGTCAAAGGGATCACATAAATAAGACCAGTGTCTGGTAATGACAGTAGATAGAATTAAGAATGAGAGACTGTTCCACCATGGGAAGCAGTCCACACAGCAGACTCATAGAATGACAAACGCCCTAAACAGCACTCTGACCTCAGAATTAACCCTTAAGGCATTTGGATAGGGCTGAAAAGCCCATGGGAGCAATCCAGGCATGGAAAGCCAAGACACCATGGCAGAAAATGCTCTACATGAAGGATTTCTGTGAGACCCCAGTGGAAAGAAGGGGCCATTTTTTAAGAAAGCTTTTATTTAATAAATATAAATTTCATAGCTACAACTTTTGGAATATAGTAGTTCTTACCCCCATATTCTCCCTCCCACCCCCACACCATCCTACCTCCTACTCCCTCTCCCATCCCATTCTTCATTAAGTTTCATTTTTAATTCTTTATATATAGAAAACCAACACTATACTAAGTAAAAATTTCAACAAACTGCACCCACACACATTCATTAAGTATAAAGAACTGTTTGAGAACAAGTTTTAAAGTTAATTCTCATAGTATAACTCATTAAGCACAGAGGTCTTACATGGGGATTAAGTACACAATGACTCCTGTTGATTAAAATTCTTTAGTGGTCCCTCTGGGATATACTTTTCTCTGAAGGGAGGAGAGAACTGCACTTTGCTTATGGCCCTGACTAAATACTGAAAGAGTTTGTGTATTCAAAAGGCTTCTGTAGCCTTGGCAGCTCATGACAAGAGCCTTGGGTGATCACTGACATCTTAAATAAGAGTGTCAATTGTTATATCAACAACAGGAGTCACTATGCACTTGCTCCCCATGTAGGACCTCTGTCTTTGATGAGTTGTACCATGAGAATTAACGATAAAACTTGTCTTCAAACAGTACTTTATACTTTGTGTGTCTGTGTGGGTACAAACTGTTGAAATCTTTACTTATATAGAGTTGATCTTATGTATATAAAGATAATTAAAAATGAATCTTAATGAATAATGTGATGGGAGAGGGAGTAGGTCGTGGGATGGGAGTGGGGGTGGAAGGGCAGGGATCAGAGGAAGAACCACTTTATTCCTAAAGCTGTACCTATGAAATTTGCATTCATTAAAAGCTTTCTAATAAATAAATAAATATTCAAAACATAAACAAGAGGAATCTAACCCCCCAAAAAGAAGTTTGTTACCAACTTAATATCTTCGCTAGATATTTATTTGAAGGTAACCTTCAATTATTTTATTTTAATAGATTTATAGTTTAGTTTTACACACTTTATTTTTTTAAACTTAATTATTTATTTGAGAGACATAGAAAGAGCTCCTATCCACTACTTAACTCCCAAAATCTGCATACCAATTAGATTAGCCTAGATCAGAACCAGCATCTAGCATTTCAATCTTGATTTCCCAGTTGAGTAGCAGGGACCAAACTTCTAGATTCATCACCTTATATCTCCCAGGTTGCACATTAGTAGGAAATTAGAATCAGGAATGGAGCTGAGATTTGAACCTAGGTACCTTGATATGGAGTATGGGTGTCTTGAGCAGCAGCTTCACTGCTAAACCAAATGGCTGTCAATAATGATAAGCTTAATGGAAATGGGATACAGTTAGAGTGGTAAAATTGTCAAGTCTAGGAGTAAGCACTGAGGAAGCACATTGCTTTTGCTGAAGTTAAAAACAATAAGGAATTTCCCAAAAGTTATCTTTAAAAAAGACCATCCAGTGGCAATCTTAAGCAATGTCAGTGATAAAATATTCTCCCTCACCAGGACAGACTACTTCTTCGCCAATACCTTCTTCCTTGGAATGTCACTTCTTTAAGAGTACATGCTAGCTATATGTGCAAGGATGCAAATGGTGTTATTGTACAGGTTGTCATTCTTTCATTCTGTGGCCTGATAACAGTTTCCAGAGCATTTCACATTTCCCTCAAATATCAGTATTAAAAATAGGAACTTGTGTTCTTTCCATTATTTGGAGATTGCTTGATGTGATGGGTCTCATTGCTGGGGTGTCTATCCCATCTAAACCTGTAATGTGGCTTTTATCTGTATTAGCTCTGACTGATCAAACATAGGTTATGGTCGCTTGAAACTATTAAAACAGCTGTTTCAGGTTGGAGAAAATCCAGATAAACAAACTTTTCTACAAGTGTGCTTCCTTTCTCTTCCTGTAATTCAGTTCAGTGTAAATACAAATTCCCAAAGTGTTCCATTGAACTATTGAAAGCCACCTTTTCTCTCATGTGCTCTATGCAATTGGCTGTATATAAATGGTTTGATGATCAAACACATTGTGGAGAACCATGGTTTAATATATTCGCCTCTGGATAACAATGTGTACTTGCATATAAAAGGCATTGAGAAGTCCTGTAATGAAACATTTTGTAGGCATTCAATCTAGGATTTTTAAATTTATTATGGAATTGTTTTATTTTTCATAATAACTTTAAATACCCTATGAAACTTGCGTTCCATAGTAGAAACTATGTGAAATGCTAGTCTAATTATTTAATTGAAAAGCTATCTATATATTCAATAGCCAACTTTGGAAGTCTAATTAACCACAGCACTTTGGTATTTTAAGCAAATTTATGCCATTTTTGTTATTTTAGAGGATGATAGTCATTCACAGGAAGCTCAATTATAACTAAGTGAAATAAGAGTGAAAGCGATGTGTGTATGTCTTTATATAGAGCATTAAATAATATTGTAGATATTTTCTCAAGAAAAGTACCACCATTAGTATTTTCATAAACTGCTTTTTATAACATCCTCAGATAAAATTTTAGAGGATAATACTAAAATCCAATTCAGATATGATAATCTATCAAATGGAAGTCATTGATTTACACATATACTTAAGAGAATACACTTATTTCATATTATGAGAGAATAAAGTACATATAAATTTGTTTTCTTGATAAGTGCAACTTATAAAATTCAAGCTTCAAAAGCATTTTACTTCTTTATTGAGTCATCTCTGAAATGAATCTGAGAATTTGACTTATTTAACAATTTAAGCATTTTTCCTAATGACTTAGGTTACAAAACTGGTGGCATACCACTATTATTTTCTTTTTTGGGTCAGCTGTTCCTTTAAAGAACTTAAGGTTCAATGCTTTAATATAAATAATATTAATTTATACAGAATCCTAAATTGATGGGCTTCAGTTTCTCTGCAAAGTCTTTTATTCCCCTTAATTTGGATTTTTACTTCCCCTAGTTGCAAGACTGGGAGGGGAATGGGAAATGCTGTGGAAGAAGTAGCAGGGTAGAATAATTCTAACAAGTCTCTGTGGAGATAAAACTATGCATTTGGTATCCATGAGTTCCAGTACTAGCTTCATTACCAACTAGTTGTTACCTAGAACAACTTACAGAACTTAGGAGTCCTTGCTTTCCCATTTACTATAAAGTAATTGTATTTACCTCTTATAAGTATTAAGACAGATTTTAAATGTCAGAGAAAGTTGAAGGTCAATAGCAGATTTAGAGCTATAATGAAGGCACACATAGACATTAAGCATCTAGAAAGGCAGCAAATCCAAAGTCAGACTTCATGAGATTGCAGTCAGAGCTATGCAGGAGTTCTAAACTTACAGGCAAATGATCACTTCTTTCCAGTACTGGATATAAAGTAGTACAGAGAGTGTTTTGAAGGCTACTAGAATTGGGTTCAGTTCTAGGCTCTGCAACTTACTAGTTCTTTTTTTTTTTATTTTATTTTCTTACCAAGGTTTTTTTTTTTTTTTTCTATAAACCTCTTTTCACTCATCTCCAAATGGGATACTAAGACTTCATAGGGTTGTTATCAAGAGTATACACACAGAATCACATACACTTTCTTATAATGCTGAGATGATAATACGAAGGCCAAGAACAATGACATAACACAGTCACCTCAATTCCTGGTACAATATAAACAGGTAGATATTCAATGTTGTCTTTCAAACCTGATTCTATGCATTGTACTATTGTAATACTAGAAAAGAAAAAAATAATAAAATAATGGGCTAATTTTTCTCTGATTTCACTTGTCAAAGGCACTATCAAGTATTTAGGAAAGAAAAACAAAAATAAAAATACTCAAAATATGGGGCTACTTCAAAAAGTTCAAGGGAAATGGAGTTAACAAATAAGTTTCTTTTGGTACAGAAAATTTTGAAATCCATGAATGAATTTTTTCATAATATTCAATTTCCATGAACTTTTAAAAGACCACTTGTACAGATGGATTTCAAAGTTATTTTCGAGCTAAAATGACTTTGTATTTTAATTTAATTTTTAAAATCTAATTTAATTTTAATTTTAATTTAATTTGTGAAACTGCCTCATACATTTAACATATCTTTAAAATATTTAACAATTTTTAACATTTTGCCATATTATATACACACACATATATACTTTTTTCCTGAAAACATGGTTATCAGAAAATGTGAGATTCATGACAATGATCAAAGTGAGGAAAGAAGGCTATATTTTTTGCCCATGGTATAACTCAGAAAATCAAAGTAATTGCCATGTTTTAGTTAGAGAAGAATGAAAAAAGAGATGTAACTTCTCTCACCCAAATTCACATACTGGTTGAATTTAATTAACAAAAATCCAGGATTTTTAGATTCCAAAATTAGTCCTCTTGGTGCTAAAAGAATTCATCACAGGTACCAAATAAGTGATTGCTACTTCATATTTTTATGAATTTATGTAGGGAAAGTCAAATTAGAAGATGTACTTTACTCTGTATTATCTTGCAGATATATTTTGGTTATATTCACTTACCAGTGAGCATTTAGGTAGAAAATTACGGAACTCCATTGGATGAGTAAGTTTGTGAAGGCATTCTGAGATATTCCAGAGAGAAGTGGTTCATATCTTGAATAATTTTTCCAAAAATTTCTTCAATGCCTAGAAACCTTCATATGAAAAACAAAGAAAAAATTAGAATTGTAACCAGTACTTGCCAACTTCTATTTTTATACATAGTATCAATTTAAAAGTTTAGTGTTCTATAATGTACATTCATTCAACTTTCCCACCAAGTGCAAGTTCAGGCCACAAAAAACATTAAGATTTTTCTTAATATAATGAGGGACCAACATATAAACAGTCAAAACCTTAACTGTATCAGTAGGACCTTAAGTCAGATGTCAATTAAATTGGTATCTATCTTGTTAATTAACACCAACATAATTTTGTACATTATAAATTGCCTGCAGAAATAGATTTATTATGCTTTGGATACAGTGATTCTTGCATGAAATATCCATGCTAACACTATGATTTTCAGCTACATTTAATGAGTGTATTTTTGCTTTTATGTGGCAGTTACATTATCAGCAGTTAGTGGCATAGATTTAGCTAAGTATTGCAGGTGTGTACATAGCTCTCCTATATTAGGAGATAAACGCTAATTTCTTTAGGGATCAACATAAAACAAGATTCTTCTGAGTATATTCTTTAAACATACACATATTCTATTAGTCTCTACTAAAGTTGTATTAGTTTACAGACTTAGTTTGTCTTTAGCTTTTTTGTTTGCCAGACAGCAGCTCTCTCCCACCTTCTTTTCACAGAGTAGGTTTTCCCTTTCATGTTTCCTCCTCCCATTTGGCATTTTAAAAGGGCAACATAGGAAGCTTAACAGCAAATCAGTCCAGACCTTTCATTTCAAACAACTCTACTAAATTGAAATACAATACAAATTTGAAAACTGCAAGGACATAAACAGGTACAATAAGTTACTACCTTAGGAGCAATTCATAGCAACTTCTTTCTATGAACTATGTTGCTGATCCCATGGGCTTGCCAATATGGTTGTTTCCTCACAATTAAACATGAAACATAAAATAGGCCCTTATTCAGGTTATTTTCCTGTGGGAGGCTACTATTCTTTAGGAATTTTGGACAGAGCAGGTGACATGATGTCATTGGAAGCGTGATTTGAATGAGAGATGGGCAAAGGAAGAGGAAATTATTAATACCAGGAGAGCATCCTGTCTTCACAATTTTGCCTTGTTGAGCAAGTTACTAAGCAATATTCTATAGAATTCTTTCTTGCTTGCTGCAATCAAAGAACTTGTCTCATCTGAATACTTTGTTCTACCCACAGAGTGTAGACAATAAAGCCTTAACATATAGTCATGAGCATTTATTAGCAACAGTTTTATTTATATAAGGCATTCCAAACAGTCAAACTTCATGGGGGTCCATGCTACACATCTGTATTTTTTGGATTTACAATCTGTGCAGTATGTTCCAAATTGAAATTTTTGCTCTTTTCTTTTCAGAAACCAAATATTGGTATTCTCATCAAATTCTATGTTATGAAATAGCTTTGAATTTCCAGAAAATATTATGTTTTGAGCAGCCTGGGGAAAGAAACAGCATTCATATAATTCAAATCCTTCCAAAATCAGATTTTCAATTCTAATGTTATTTAGATTGAAAGCTGGCTTTAAAATTTTTCTTCATATAGCCTTCTATATAGAAATTATACAACTGACTAACATTATCAATTTTGTTCCAAATAAGTATTCAATAAATCATCATTAGATGAATTTTAAATTCTGCTGTGCTAATTAAAATCAGATTTATGATTACAAATATTTCAATGGATAAATTATTAATTAACCCAAAGCAAGACTGTATAACTTGAACATTCTTCTTTATTTCCCTATTCCATAAATAAAATAACTTAAATAAAAGCAGTAGAGCAAACTGATGATAATTTCAAATGTTCTAGGGTGAAAAATATAGTAATAAATTTATCTATACACAGGAAATGAGTTAATAAATATTTTGTAAAATTATAACATTTAATTTCCAGAAGAATAATAAAAAGCTATTCTAATATTTCTTAGTGATTTTTTGGTAAATATTAGTCAAAAACAATAGAATGGAAAAATAATAACTGTATTTCTTGGTAATCTATTCCATATATTCTGAGGTAAGCACCTACTAGAAGTAACTGGGTTTTGATAGATTATACTTCTCATGATAATCTCTGATTGTTACTATTGTTTTCTTTTTGATTCATATTATTAAATTTAAGTGTGAAATGTTCTATGCATACTACTCTATAGTGTCTTCTTTCTCCAATGCAACATGTGTTAGGATAGATCATAATTCCATACATCAGGAATGGCTAGACTTACTAAGTGGAACTTGTGAGTGGATTTTTATAATGCAGAAAACATCTCAAAATAGGAGAAATACAACCCAGCTGTAACTATCACGATGATATTCTGCCATTGATATTCAGTAAACTTCTATGTGTGGGATGCCCTGCACTTGACACTTCTCATATTGTTTTCTAATTTGATCCATGTAATAACATTATAAAATACATTTTGCTATATCCATATTTCTTCTAAGAAAGGGATTTTAAAATATGTTAAATAAAAATTTATTCAAGAAAAATAGGGAAACCTAAATTATAGCTCAGGCCTGAGTTCAAAGCTTGTACTCATAGCTACTAACTTGCTGTTTTTATCTTATCTTTATTTTTGGAAAATTCAATATTCTGCAGTGGGCATAAGACATAGAAGTGAAACTCGAAGAGAAGTTTATGTAGTTATCCAATCTCCAAATTTCCTTTATGAGCTATGTGAAATACTTTAGGAACTATGAACATATTTCATCAAAATCATGCTATGGCATTATTTCAAGACAGAATGTTAGAATTGTAAATTGAGTTTAAGGAAAAAGAGAGAAATCAACACAACTTAACACACAAGTCTCTAATACTTATATCCCCAAGCTCTGTCCTGCTACAGTTCTTTGTGATGAGTAGCCACAAATTGAGGAAAATTATGAGGAGTGCTGAGGCTAACAAAGGGACACTGAAAGGTACATTACAATGTATGCCTAAAAGATTAAACTAACCCAAAATCTAAATGTAGTAGGAAAGTGTCCAGGCAAATCAGAGTATGCACTACAGGTAAGGAATTTCAAAATAGGCTTGATTTAAAGGTCCAGAAAAAATCTTTGAGGTTATGTGAAATTTAAAGGGACAGTTCTACAATACTTTAGCTTCTAGAAGAAAACAAAATAAACAAAACAAAGTAGATAAAATAAAATACAACTACTAAATTGACAGTAAAGATCACCACTGAACTTGGAATGTTGTAAATCCTCCAGTGCCATGGAAATGAACATAAGGAAAGTAATGTCCATGGAGAAAGATTTACAAAATCAGGAAATTAAATTTCACACATTTTTTATTAATTTATTTATGTGAAAGGCAGAGCTACAGAAAGGTAGAGGTAGAGGCAGAGGCAGAGAGAGGTCTTTTATCTGCTGGTTTTCTACCCCCCAAATGGCCGCAATGGCTGGAGCTGGGCCGATCCAAAGCCAGGAGCCAGGAGGTTCTTCCAGGTCTCCCTTGTGAGTGCAGGAGCTTAAGGATTTAGGTAATCTTGTACTGCTTTCCCAGGCCATTGCAGAGAGCTGGATCAGAAGTGGAGCAGCTGGGACTCAAACCGGCACCCATATGGGATGCTGGCACTATAGGCAGCAGCTTTACCTGCTATGTCATAGCACCGGCCCATAATTTCACTCTTACAAACTGAAAATTAATTTTGAAAAGCAGACTCTAAGCAGAATAAAATTGTAAGCCTACACTCCAACAAGAATTTAATAAAACAACTATTTGAGGTTATAAAACAATTAAAAGCTGATTTAAAAACTCAGCAAATAAGCAAGAAAAAACACAAAGTCTCATATTTATGTGTTGGAAATGCAAACTGAAATCATTCAGCCCTATCAGAAGAGGATTTGACAGTTTCTTACAAAGCTAAATATAGTTTTATCATAAAATTCAGCAAGTCATGCTCTTCATACTCAACTGATTTGCGAACTTATATCCAAACAAAAACCTGCACACAGATATATAAAGAATCTTTACTAAAATCTCCAAAAATTGCAAAGGGGATCTGTCTCTGTTTCTCCATCTCTCTGCCTTTCAAATAAAGTAAATTAATTAATTATTTTAAATGCTGAAGAAGAGAAAACACAAAATCCACCAACAAATTAGAAATAACCAAAATGTCCTTCAGTAGACTATTGGCTAGACAAACTGTCATACATCTAGACAATCGAAAACTATCCAGTCATTAAAAAAAAAGAAATGAACCAGGGTCAGTCAGACACTGTGGCATAGTGTGTTAAGCTGCCAGCTGTGACACCAGCATCCCATATGGACACCAGTTTGAGTCCCAGCTTCTCAATTTCTGATCCAGCTCCCTCTAATGTGCCTGGGACAGAAGAAGATGACCCAAGTATCCGGGTCCCTGCCACCCACATGGGAGACCCAGATGAAACTCCTGGCTCCTGGCTTCGGTCTTGCCCAGCCTTGGCTGTTCTAACTATTTGGGGAGTGAACCAGTGGATAGAAGATCTATCTCTCTCGCTCTCTCTTGCTCTCTTTCTCACTCTCTCACCCCTTCAATCTCCATAACCGTGACTTTTAAATAAATAAATAAATCCTTAAAAAAAGAAGTGAACTAGGGTTCATGCTGTGGTGTAACAAGTTAAGCCACCACCTCTGACGCCAACATCCCATGTGGGCACCAGTTCAATTCCTGGCTGCTCAACTTCCAATCCAGCTCCCTGCTAATGCACCTGGGAAAGTATCAGAAAATGGCCTAAGTGTTTGGGCTCCTGCACCCATATGGGAGACCCAAATGTAGCTCTTGGCTCCTGGCTTCAGTCTTGCCCAGCCCTGGATCTTGCAGCCATTTAGTAAGTAAACCAGCAGATGGAAGATTTCTCTTTCTTTGCCACTGCCTGTCCTTTTCAGCAACTCCACCTTTCAAATAAATAAATAAATCTCTCTCTTTTTTTTAAAGAAATGAAAAGTCACGCTATACTTCCGGGAGCCAGGAGCTTCCTCCAAGTCTTCCATGTGGGTGTA